GTATAATTTAATGTGCTACAGCTTTGAAAGTGTTAGAAAATGACTCAAACTGTAAAATGTGCTAGAGGTTTAGAATAAATAAAGTTATATTCCAGTATCTTTGAAATAATGTCACAGAAAAGCAACATATATAATATAAATATTTTTTCACTTCTCACTTTGATTAGAATAGAAAGGACATTTGAACAGTTATTTTGAGGCAAGATTCTGACTCGAGTTATGAATCCAGTTATAATTTTTTTCTTTTTTTTTTCCTTCACTAAAGCAGCAGTCAAAGCTCATATTTGGTTCAATACAGATTTCATTGAGCACACAAGTTCCATGATAGAACTCATTTTATTAGACCCTGCACTCAATACAAAACATCAATTGCTGAGGGTCACACCACATCTTTCTAGCTGTCACACCAATATCTTCCTGAGTGCCGTCTGCACTGTCTCAGGTTCTTTATTTATACTGGAACTCATTTAGTTTGATCCGAGAGCTATTTCCAAAATGCCTGCAGTACACAAAAAAGCACTTCATCACCAGACAATTCTTTGCTTTGGAGATAGGAATATCAGCAAGATTTTCTTTTTGGTTGTGGAGATCTGGACAAATGATGATAATAGGTTTAAGGAGAAGCAATTGTAATTCTAACAAAAGATATATGAAATGAGTCTGAAAAGGTAGATCGAAGACAGTTAGGGATGTTGAGACCAGTTCTAGTTTGAAATGGGATTCAATTTCCTACTTCTTGTATTCTATAGGAAATGGAATGCCTTAGGAACGTTTTGATAATCAGTTGACAAGATTCTTAGATTTAAAGACTTTAAGACAGAACTTTGGAAAAAACAAAACAACAACTAAAAAATCTCCTCGTATATGAAAAGGAGGCAACCACTGAGGATGTAGCTCAGTGGTAGACCACTTGCCTGGGATGCTGAAGGCCCTGGGTTGATCCCAGTAGCACAAGGAAAAAAAAAAAAGGCAGGACTGTGTTTTAGGCCCATGGTTTGGTTAAAAAGCAGTTACAGTAATAAAAAAAAGATAAGAATTTCTGGGGATCAGAATTAGAGAAGTAGTAACAGCTTTTGTTTGTTCCCTTGTTTCTTCAGGAAAATCTATCAACTCCCTTCAAAACTTTAAGTCATAGAAACTCATCAAGCCTGAAAATAGAGAGGAGTTTGGATACTAAGATAAATAAATATGCAGTAAGAAAATTTGGATATGATACATGGAAATGATTTAGGGGAAACTGAATAGGAAAGATACTAAAATCTAAGAAGCCCAGTCAGGAAGTAGTCGATTATTCCAGGAGAACATTCACTCAGGAGTATTAAAATTTTTGTATTTTTCCTCCCAGCAATAGATAGTTTCCTCCTTAATTTTAAAACGTTTTCCCACTCCTACACTTCTCTATATAATAGATTTTCTCTTTGCTGTTATCTGAAATTTACTTTAACTATTGTTTTTACTCCCACATTTGTATCTTATACCATAATTTCTCTGAACATTTTCCCAACTACTCATGAAAAGAATAAACTTCTCTGAATAACTGATTTTAAAGCAGAACCAAAGTCAAGAGCTTTTTGTTATGGAATCACTTATGTATTTCCTTTCACAAAATGGTCAAAGATAATATTTGACTTAGGCAGACAAAGAAAATGATAAGGTGGCTACCAGAAGTAATGAAGAAAAGGAACAATGGCCAGCTTTTAGGAAACTCCTTTCAGAAAGGTGTAATACTAACCCAGGCAGAGATTGTATTTTCCCTTGTTGCTAAAAAGTTCTTGATTAGGTATTGAATCTAAGAGAAACCATTTTTCACCCAAAATGATTATTGTAGCAACTCTTCAGAAATACAAATTAACCTCCCAGAAAATTATGACATTATAATCTATCAAAGTAGATAATAATAATTTATTATGATGATTGAATTCTGCTTGGGTAGTGATACTATTCAAATTTTCCATAAATACATTTTTTTATGTGTGTATGTGTATGAATCACATTGTGCCAACATTTAAGATGTGCTTCAATAATGGCACTCATAGTGGAAGGAATGGTGATTAGTGAATCTTTTTTAATGAAATTTGGAGAAAAAGCTACTGAAATATAATGTTATTTGGAATAAGCATATCTTAAGTATGTGGGTCTACCTATCATTTATTATTATTATTATTATTTTATTATAATTTGTGGTACACATAGGCAAGTGATCTACAACTGAGCCATATTTCCACACAGTGTCTAGCATTCCTAAATGTATTTTAATATCTAGTTAATAAAACACTTGCCCTCCCAAAGATCTTCATAATTACTCCAAGTAACATTTAGCAACAAAAGAAATTATCTTTTGCTGAATTTTAAAAGCAAGGACAGTAATCAATATGCTGTAGAATTTTATAATGATTGTTCCTGTGATTTTGCAAGCAAGTATTATTTGGGCATACATTTTTCTTTAGTAAAATATACAGTATAGAGTTTATTCCTGTTTTTATTAAAATGGCTAATTCTAGCATAGAAGATATTTGATTCTCTAAAAAAATTAATTTCCTTTGATTATAAAACAAGGCCAATCATATCTAAATTTGAAGCTCAATTATACCACTTATAAGCTATATGAACTTGAATCAGTCCCTCTACCTAAAAACTCAACATATTAATAGTTTATTTTAAAATGAGGATTAAGTCAATTAATATATGCAAAGCACTAACGTGGTACTATTAATGCCTAAAATTATAACTAATATTATTAACTTTAATTCTATCTATTAAATGAGATAACATTACACATATAAAAATGCACATAGTTAGCATGATATGTTGTAAGATTCAATAAGTGGTTGTTAAATGTATTAGGTAAAAGATATTGGAAATATGGAAATAATTATAAAAAAACTGTTATCTAAGATCTGGTTAGCTAGTGACAAAAAGCCAGTATTTCATTTATTTTGTTATATCTTGTTAAGTTTATCAGAAGCAATACCCTGTGACATCAAGAAGCATATTTATTTTTAATGAAAGGAAAATTGTTACTTTCAGAATTGTGAATAAGTTGCAAAGTAAACAAGAACAAAAGTATATGAGGTTTACTAATTGCTTACCTAAAGTGTATTGTTGACCTGACCATAATGGCATTTTTGAAAAATAAAATATAATTTTTTTTAAAAAAACATTGAGTTAAGTCATAACATTTTACATACGAAAAACTCTGAAAGACAATAAATAACAAATAATTTTAAAATATGATTATAGGTTGTGATGGGAGGAAGGACACCTTGGAGTGTCAAGAGAAACCTTTGAAAACTGACTTTTGAACTGACACCTAAATGATTAAAGGAATCCAGGCACACAACATTCCAGGCTTGATTTCCAAAAGAGCAAAGGCCTTAAGGGCCGAAGGCCATGACTTAATGTGGAAGAGTTTGCAGGAAAATAGAAAGCTGTACCAAATAATGTTTGAGAAACAGGCTGCAGCCAGCTGGGGTCAAGACTAGCAGGCCAGGAAAAGATGATTGGATTTTATCCCAAATGCAAAAGAAATCCGTTTAAATCAAGGAAGTAAAATGATGATTTGTGCTATAAGAAGTCTAATCCTTGAGCAGTGGGTTGTACAAGGGGTCAAGAGTGGAATGAATGAGAATAGGTAGAAGGCATTGCTATATTTAGGTGATAGATGATGGTAGAGTCTATTGGTATTAGAGAGAGAGAAGTCAAGTATGGAATCAAGCTATATTTTGCATGTAGAATCAACATGGAAAAGTAAGGGTTCAGGGAAGACACCCACATTTCTCAATCGAATATGTGTTAATTTCTTAGGAAATGTAGGAAGATCTGAGAAGGAGATGTGGACAATCCAGAGTTCCATTTTGGCTAAGTGTGAGAGAGTAGAATATTCTAGAGATGAAGAGGATGGACTTTGGAATAGGTTCAAATCCTACTCTGTAATTTACCACCAGTAGATTTTGAATAAACTGTACCTCATTTTATCATCTTTAAAAATTGGGATGGTAATAATACCTGCTGAACAGGGTTATGAATATTTAATTAAATCAATCTATAAAATGCTAAGAACAGCTCCTGAGACATTATAAGCAATAATAATTATTGCTATTATTATTGGTCATACAAGTGGCAATGCTAACTAGAAAATCTGATACATAAATATGACATTTGAAGGAAAGTGATTGACATTCTAATTATGGTAAGAGAGCATCTCACCTCATTACACTGCTTTTGAATGAAAGAAAATAGCTTCTATTGTTTTCTGTCTACTTATCTTTCTCTGTCATCTTTACCTTTCCCTCATTTTGTGGATTGCAGAAGGAGACCTGGGTGAAGATGGGAGACAGGGTAAGAAGGAAAAGATTGTTAAGGAAACTGAAGAAGTTATACTTCAACTAAAAAAAACCCCAAAACTCATTTCCTTCTTCAATTTTACAATTAATCCAGAAGCCAATTCTAGCTTTTAATTGATTACATTTAAATTTCCTGTATAAATTGATCAGAACTCTTTTCAGTTTTTTCCAATGATTATTAAGTATGGAAATCACAAGAAATAATCCGTGACTGGCATGCTGACTACATTCTCCCATTGTAACCTGTGAAGTGGCAGGTTTATTGACACATCGAAGGACCTTTCTTCAGGTCTGCTTTCTCCTCCATAAACAGCTACATTATTTAAAGAAAAAAATATATCATTTTGCCTTATGGAAATAAACTACATAAACCTTCAAATATATGAATGGATTTGAACATGAGTGCCATTTATTCATGTGTTTAATAAAAAATAAAATAGTTCAATGCCTGGGTGATAGATACTTCATCATTTCCTGGGACTTCCAAGATGAACACGACTTTTACCTTCAAAATGGAAAAGCCCAAACATGTGAAGTGGTTAATTTTCATAGAATCTATTTAAAAACTGTAACAGGTGCCAAGTAAATATGACTTATTGTTGTAGTCATCAATACATGGAGATCCTTCTTGAAGCATCACGTTTCCTTTCTTTCTTTTCTTTCTTTCTTTTTTATTTTTTTATCCAGCCTGTTAGCAGGGTTATGAGAAGAAGCTCAGAAAGGAACCCTGCCAGGGGCCGCCACCACCAGCATGAGGTGCCCAGTCATCCAAACTGGTAAGTGGAAAAGTGTCTCCTACATGTCATGAAATCTGTTGATCCTGTTTCTTATGTACTTATTTCATAGTCTATAAATTTTTCAAACCAACAGTATTTCTAATATTCCTCTGGGAAATTTTTATAGACAGACGCGGATTGGAAGAAGTCGTGGAAGTTTGTAGAAGTTGTTCACATTCTCTTAGTTTTATTTTCCTTATTTTAAAAATGAACATTACAATAGTTATCTTGTTCGATTTTTTTCTAAGAATTAACTAAGAATTTACATACAAAGACTGTAGTAGTTCCTTTGAATAGAGAAAAAAGGTGAGAATATTCATTCTTGTTAAATACTTTTCACAGACCAAGTAATGCATGCGAAATACTTCAACATTTGTTTAATCCTCACTACAAAACTGTAAGTTGGCAGCTATAATTATGCTCTTATTAACAGGAAGAAACTGTGCTGTCAGCAGGTTGTACGACTTGCCTTTAACTGCACACTGCTCCCAGAGATGGCTTTTAGAGAGCCATTCTCTTTAATGGTAGAGTTTCTGTTCTTGTATTTACTTATAAAGTCAGGAAACATTAATGAAATATCTACTATATACCTCACTTCTTTTAACTGAGATGCCATACTTCTTCCCAAATGATTGTTTTTTATATTATATTGTTATATTACATATTTATATGAGGCCTTATAATTTAGAGTTGTGAATCTGTAATTGTGCTTTACACACTCTGTCAAGCCGATAAGGGGGGATCATTATTTCTATCTTTACAGATAGAGAAATTGAGTTTCTGAGAGGTTAACTGGCTCACTGCATTCTTTAGAGTTCAGTGCTTCTCAGACTTTTCAGTGGCTAAGGGTTAGTGTATTTTTTATGCACTGCAGATTGAATGTCTTTGTAAAATTACTAGAAAGCAATTGAAAGAAATAAAGTGATAAAGAAGAAGACAGAATACACAAAAATCCACAATTTTATTTCTATTTATCATTATTCTGCAATACATAAAAGAGTATACTACATTTCTATAAAAGTGTCTAATGCTTTCTCTCCAATTCCCTATTCCTTATGGTGCAGATTGGTGATTGCAGACTGACACTAGCAAAGAGATCAAACCATGTAGCTAACATGAGGCAAATCTAACAGGAAGTCCTAGGCCTTCCACCTTGCAGTCCAGGTCTCTCCTATTACCCCACATAGCAACACAGAGCAGGAATCCTCATGTGTGATATAAGGGGAAAGAAGACTGAATTCCAAATTTTTAAAGTGAATCCAGTGTAAGAAAAGTGACAACGATACAACATCTTAGAAGAGTTACATGAAAAAATTGACATGAAAAAGCAGAAAAACAGTTGGAAATTTACAGGAATGATTTCTTTTCATTTTGTTTATAAGATATCAAGACTTCTAAAATATTTACTTTATGTTGTTGAAAGACTTTCTCAAGATGCTTTTTATTTCTTTTTTCTTTTCATCTTATTTATTCTTTGAAAGGAGAAGTTAAGGTCTATTCAGAAGAAGGGGCCTTGTCAGTTCCCAAGAAGTGTATAGCCCTGTGTATAAGAGTAAGAAAAAAATATTGGGATTATGGCCAGCTATGAAAAAGAAAATTTAAAAAAAAAGAAAGAAAATGAGAGACATATCCATACTACATTGAAGGAAGGGAATTAAAAATAAATGTTACTCGTTCATTTCAAAAACATCCAGAAAAATCACAGCACTTTTGGTACAAAGTTAAATGCACATTGAGTCAGAAGCAAGAATTTACTTAGTAAGAGGATTTTGTGGCTTTCTCAGTTCTACTAAAATGGATCCAAATATTTACATGTGCTCTTTTATTAATAACTATTTTACCATCTGTGTCAAAGTGTTATTGCACAGATGTTCAGGAATAGCTTTTGGTTGTGGGTAAATATTAGAGGAAGATTGAAGTTTTCTCTAAATGATGCAGATAGAATGGTTTTATAATAGCTTAATATGTCAGAAATAAGGCTTTATTTTTAAGTCCCACCAACATAACAGTGTGGATACAACTTAGTATGGCTGTATGTGTACCAGAAATGCAGCTCAGTAGTTCAGTGATAAAGTGTGGGTGTACCATGCGCTTTAGCATGTGCAAAGCCCTGTGGGTTTGATCCCCAGCACCATGCTCACGCACAAACACGTGCACATATGTACACACACACAAAGACTACAAGGCTATTGAGAAGAATGATATTTATGACAACATTCACAAATGAGACTTAGGTTTTGAGAAGTCTTTACATTGCTAAATTGAAATTCACAATATAAAGTAGAGCAAACCCACAGCCATCAATAACATAGATTATGTGCATGTTACTTTCTACCCCAACTCAGACATCCAATATTTGACATTGGTCAGAAAGTTAACTAATAATACCTGGGCACCACTCTTCAATCAATGACTTTACATTATATCCATTCATGACTATTTCTCCTGTTGCCTATGAAATGGGAAGAAAGGAAGAAAGAATGTATATTGATGTGTTGTATCCAAGGAAATATAGTCCAAATATGTATTGTGTGCATAATGCTGGGAGTAGAGACACTAGTAGCATGTGTACTCTGTGTGTGTGTATGTATGTGTAAAATATTGGTTCAGATTAAGGTGAGATGATCACACAGCAGGGAAAGATGGTCCAACAACATTTTAGCAGAGTTGCTTTATTTGAATCCCTGTAATTTATTGGAATTTGGGTCTGATATTATTTGTAACTATCTACTCTTCAACTATAAAACTTAAAAACTTTCTGCTAAAAATAAAATTAGCAATAAAATGAAAGGCTGAGGGTCAATCTTATCAATTGTCTATTGGAAAACTCTACACCTCGATAGATTTTATCTCAGTCTCATATTAGTAAAGAACAATAGTAACAAGATCAGCAATTCTGATCTAGATCTGGATAATGATTACTTGACAAGAAAGCAAAGGAAAAGAATTTATATGGTTTGTATCTTGAATGTCCCCCAAAGGCTCATCTTCTAGAGGATTGGTCCTAATGCTGCAATGTTCAGAGGTGGGGTTTGAGGTCTTGGGAAGTGATTGTAGCATGGGGTTCTAACTTTAGTGTGGATGAATCTATTGATAGATTCCTAATGTGATGAAACTGTAGGTGGCAAGGCCTACTAAGAGCAAGTGAGTTACTAGAGGCATGCCCTAGAGGAGTATATCTTCTCCCCCAGAGCTTTTGTCTCTGTGTCCTGGATAAACCAAGTACCTTTTTTCTACCCTGCACTTCTGCCATGATATTCTGTCTCATCTCAGGCTCAAAGCAATGGAGTCAGCTAGCCAACCATAGACTGAAATCTCTACAACTGTGAGCTAAAATGAATCTTTATTATTTTAAGTTCCTTTTTTCTCATGCATTTCAGTCATAGCAACAAAAAGCTGACTAATATGAACATATAAAGAACCACGAGTTAATACAAAAGTCAGAAAAAATATTATAAAAAAATTTTGCCATTTTTACATATATTGTGAATGACTCAGAAATTAAAGCCTAGACCTAGAGTAAGTTGAAATACAAAGAAGTGAAAAGAAATGAAAAGTGCAAGGAAAGAATTCAATTTACTTTGGGGGACAACAAATAACAGAATCAGACTAAAGAAAACTGAGGAAGCACTCAGCTTCTTCACACCACAGAGGGCAAAGACTGGTGATGAAAACAATGAGAGAGAAAATGGCCAGCATGGAAGACAAAAAGCAAATGTATGGGTAACTGTGACTTAGAAATAGAACAAAATGAATATTAGAAAGAGCAATAATTTAAAAACCACATTGGGGGAAATCTCACTCAAGAATTATCTCACTCAAGAAATAAATGGAAAATATTTTTAACTTTTCTGAAAATTGTTTCCTGTGGTCTGAATTTTTTTTTTTTTTGGCATGGCAAGGGAAATACCACCTATTCTTTAAAATTTAGCACAACCTAATGTTAAACCTAGACAAAGATTATTTTGGATATAGTAGGATTTTTTTTAATTACTGGAATTACTCATGCTTATATAGTTATTTGTGTTTTCAGGCTTTCTTGTATATGTTAGTTGATTATTTGTTCAGCCAATTGAAACTAGGAATGATACATGGGCAACAGGCATGAAAACGATCCAGAAAGACAGCATGATTTTGACAGAGGGTCTAGTACTCTTACCCCTGCAGCAAGTGTGACAACTCCATCACTCTCCTAGGCATTTCCCCTGGTGAGCTATGTGATGGTTCATTGGCTTCCACTACTATTCATTTCCAAAGGGTGTGAGAGCTTAGCTAATATGTTGTTAAGATAGTTTGGGTGACCATAGTTTAGATTCTATATTGTCATGTGGCAGTTTTTTTAAATAAGCTATAATATCAGCTAAATATAACCACAAAATTTTCTTTCTTTTACTGTAGGAACCTACATATAACATTACCTTTGTGACTTTAACTGTTTTTAAGTGGGCAGTTCTATAGGATTAAATACATTCTTATTGTAGGGCAATAATCACCATCATCCATTTCCAGAAATTTTCCATATACTATTTTAACTTCAATTATATATAAGAAAAAAATCCACTCTTTTACAGCTCTGCCTCTTTTATGATACTGATATTAAACATATTTATATGTGTATATTATATGTAAATATATGTAATGTATGTATTTTAAGTACGATAGAAATAAAAAGTAAAATATAAACCAAAATTACAATAATACAGTTATTTTTATTTTCCATGCATTTACTTTTACTGGAGAACATTATGTTTTCATATGACTTTGAGTTATTATCTAGCATATTTACTTCAGATTGAAAAACTTCCTTTAATATTTGTTGCCAAGTACATCTTGTGGTAATAAGCTATCTAATATTTTTGTTTGTTTGTTTTTTTCTCCCTAATTTTTGAAGAATTATGCCAAATACAGAACTTTAGGTGAACAGGTTTTTTTTTTTCTCTTCTAGTGTGTTCAATATATCATCCTAATTCCTTTTGGCCTAAAATATTTCTGCTAAGAAA